ATCATTGTGAGGATTATTCAGACAGATATCAGACCCTCACTACAGGGGATCAGATATTGGTGTGATCTCTAGATGGAAGCAGGACAAACCCCTCTATCATAGTAAAATGTTTGAGGACATATATTAAACAACTGAAGGAGAAGGGTGTTAATTAACTTGCAAATTCCTCTTTTTGGGAGATGTGAATGTATTGTGGAATTACCCATCAATGCTTGGCCTTGGGTCAACTTTCTTTGTGTTGAGGATATCAACAAAACATTTACTTGTATTGCAGATGTGGTATATGCACATAATAGAGATCTATTGCAGCATAAAATGTTGCCCCATGGCCATCACAACTCAAGCTACTGTCAAAAGTACCATATACAAATTGGTTGTGCACACCTAGACCCCACATATACATGAATAACTGCACAGTAGGCAAGTGTTGTTTAATACAAAATCTGGCAAAGACTGAAAGACTAGCAGCTTAATAATATAAAGTTAGGATAGTCACAGGAAACTTATTTATCAATATTTTAAATTAAATCCAGAGCTTACTATACAATGCTTACAATGTTTATTGTAAGTGTAAGGGTTTTAATAAATGGTATATAGAAGGACACAAAGCATTTAAAACTACTGTAACTGGCAATAAAAACCGAGATAAAAACACAAAAGCCCGAGGTTGAAACAAAAGCAAAATTACATACATGCACACAAATTTTTTAGCCATCTGAAAAGTTTTTAAAAAATACTTCTTACCTGAAGAAAATACTCTTCGTTTATAGCGTATTGTAGCATCCACAAGCGGATAAGAAAGGCATTTTTTAGTCGACTTTGTAAAACAAGCCAAGTAGGAGAAAAATATTTTTAGCTCGAAACAAAATCATTTTCCCGTTTTATCGAAAATCCAGGGGGGTGAAAGACACCGTCAGAAGCAGAGGATCGCGGTTTGTCAGTGGTAAATACCATTGCCAGAAGGAACCAGATGGCGTAAGCAAACGTGAAAATCCGCCATGTTTTTGGCGACACTTTTTTGACTGACGGAAGATAGGAGCAGCTCCTCCAGTAATATTATAGCTCAGTGAGTTAAACTCGTACTACTAAACGGACATTTTTGGAACGTCACAAATGTGTCCGCTTCAAATAGGTGTCTACTTAAGGAGGCTCCGTACAGTTTCCAATATATGTCAGTGTTTTAAAACTAAAAGCTATTTGAATCTAAAAAAACTAATTTTTTGCACAAGCCATTATTTCCTCTTGTATAAAAAAGTAATTTTAACCCACAATCGCTACTCTTCATGTTACCATGACAACATGACGTCACCATCTATATGGCCTATATCAATAAAAAAAACCGTCTTAGCGGACAAATAACCGCGGTGACCTACCATTTTTATTGCAGAAAATACATTGTTATGAAGTTTTGAATCTTTTTTGAAAGTTATTTGAAAATCGCCAGTGTAGTTTTCGAGAAACTAAATTTCAGCCTTTTGAGAGGCTAAAATGCAATCTTTAAGGCTGAAATTCAGTTTCTCGAAAACTACACTGGCGATTTTCAAATAACTTTCAAAAAAGATTCAAAACTCCATAATAATGTATTTTCTGCAATAAAAAGGTAGGTCACCGTGGTTATTTGTCCGCTAAGACGGCTTTTTTGGTTGATCTAGGCCATATAGATGGTGACGTCATATTGTCATGGTAACCTGAAGAGTAGCGATTGTGGGTTAAAATTACTCTTTTATATAAGAGAAAACAATGGCTTGTGCAAAAAATTAGTTTTTTTAGATTCAAATAGCTTTTTGTTTAAAACACTGACATATATCGGAAACTGTAGAGAGCCTCCTTAAATAATAGGGGTTATAATAATAGTGTTTAGTTCGTCTCCTCCGCTTGTAACTCGGTGGCAAAAAGGTAATGGCTATACGATCTGGAAGGGAGGGAGGTTTTTAAAACAGTTCAAAATTTAAACTCAAAGTTTGCTAATAGTTTAGGGTTTATTCTAGGATTGGATTCTGTTTAGGGTAAGGTTTAAGATTGTCACTATCAGTGCATGGTTCTCGTATTCGCATTATGACAATCTTAAAAAATAGACGCCATCTTGAAAACTTCTCTCCGGTCCATTCCCTTTAGCAACGATCGTTGCAAAAACAGCAGAATTAATCACGCAAATAGCGCAATACTTGGCAGAAATTGTGCAGTATATATTACTACACATTTATCACTCAATGTCCCTGCTACGTACCCCCATCTTTTCTCCAGAACTTGGTGTGTGGGGCTGAAAAGGGTCGTCCGCTAAAGACAGGTGACCGTCTATACTTGTTCGATATTGTATTTATTATAAATTTCTCATCAACAAAGGACCAAATCCACTCCGTTTAGTGTTATTGTATTTCATTGCTGTCATCAACCAATCACAAAACCAAATTCATACAGGCTGATGGCGACTTCATAAAGACTTAAGAGTGACTGTCTGTAAAAATCAAGCAAAATTCAAAATTCATGGCAAACTTTGAAGAATTCCATTTCTCTCATACTTTCAAGTCTGGAAGGGTAATGTTTCCTAAGAACAACTGTATAGTTGGTTTGGTTAAATATCATTGTATTCTGAAGAAATATGCAAATTATCGAACACCGCCGAAAATGCCGTTCGGACGGGTGATTTTTAGCCCCACTTTGGTGGGCTTCTATGGACAATTAGAGCACCCCACATCAAATATAATTCCTAATCCTAGTTAAATAATCAGTTGACTATCATTTTGGCAAGTTTGGGGACAATCACACGATTTTATACTTTCCAAACAATTTTATTCTCGAAGCCCATATTTTGTATCGATAAAAATGGGTCTTATAAAAAGTCTTATAGAGAATGTGCTCTATCTTTAAATAATTCGAAACTCCGGCGAATGAATGTTGAAATAAAGGTCTTTCATCTGATAGAAAGGAATCTTTGGGCAAATGCTTGTGTGTGACGTTTCAGGCTATCAAACTGTGATGAAATTGTACTCCTGCGACCTTTCAGGTCAAAAGACACTAGGACGAAATACCGTTTATTTTGATTTATAAGTCGATGAAAAGGTTTGAAAAAAGTATAGAAAGTATTAATAATGTAAATTGTGTGCAATCCATACCTGTTTTGATGTAAAAATTGCGTTTTATGATCTTCTCGGCTTGGTTTTATAGATGTAGTCCCCGAGGGCATGTTAACCATGTTTACAAGTTTTAAATTTCAACACAATCGCCACAAGAAGCCCATGATGATCAACATAGATTTTTTAAAAATAAATGGCCGCTGTTTCCTTGCATATACTATTTTTTTGCTTTTATTCAGAACTTTTTCATAGATTTTAAGGGCATGTAATTGATTGACTTTCTACATGTATTTTGGCCCTCCCAACGACGCGCATGGGTATCAGTTCAATAGTCTAACTTAAATGGAGGTTTGCTGTTCATTCAAGTCATTAGTAGGAGGAATCTGTGGTTCTGACAGTCGAGATAGAAAACACGAAGTGCAAGTTGTTCCTCTGACATCATGTACAAAAGATATTGCGAACCATCTAGCATCCTTCTCGTTTTTTGGTCCACAAAACGAGATAGACCTGATATTGTGTCGAGCGGCAATTTTTAAAATGCCAAACTCTTTTGACAACATGACAATATGTCCACAGCATCGTGCAAAACTTGGATTGGGATGGACAAGGGGATCAACTAGATGTAGAATACCAGCTGCGTTATCTAACCACGGGAAAGGAAGTAGAAAAATATGGCCAAAGGGAGACAGGGGACTTGGGAAACAAGATTCTGAAACACTACTACAAAAGACTGGTGTGTTTATTCAAGCTGGTTCCGGTAATTGTTTGTATTATTATTGTTTGTATTAGTTGGGTGCGTCAGTTCATTCATTTCATGTGCATATGTTTTGTTTACTTTACTAGGAATATGCAGGACATGCCGAGATAAAATGAAGACGATTAGACCAACTATTCCCACCACAGCACTTGCGAAGTTGGAAGCACAACTAAAGACAGCAACATTACAGGTAGTATATAGGTTATGGTGTTAAAACCTAATGAGGTTTTTCCTTCGCCATGGAAAGCAAATTAAATCAAACACTGTGGCACATTGCCAATTAAAGGGTTGAAAGGAATGCAGCATTGGCAGACTGCTTGGTTAGCCCATTGAGGGACACTCACTAGCCTCTCCCCTGGAAGAGTAAAATCGTCTGGTGATAGAGAGAATAAAATAATATTAGATGTAGGGCATATCAGGGGGCATGGTCACTTACATGATTAAAATTAATTTGTAGGATGACTCTCCTGAAAATCCATTCAAAACCCTGCAGCATCAACATATCCCAGTTACCCCAATGAGCACTGTGCCGTCAACGCTATTCTCACCTTCTGCTATATCCCAAGCCTTCGACCTGTCAATGACCAACGAATATGATGAGGAACCATCTACATCTACTCCAAAGGGTAAGCTAAACTGCTTTCTTGCTGCAAGAGATGTAAGTCCAATTCGAACCTCAATGATGACACCATGGGAAGAAGCTGCAGGACGAACCAAAAGGCACTATTTACGGAAAGCCAGACAGGTTGTCTTCGCTACCCTTGAAGAAATTGCACCCAATAATTCTGAGATGCTGTTCAGAGCAATAAAAGAAAGGCAACTAGATGAAAATGATGGCACGGATTGCATGCTGTTAGAAGCTTTAACAGCATGCTACGAGAATGCCAGCCATTGGAGCAGTCGCAGACAAATTCTCTCCATCTTTGCCGATAAGGTCAGCTTCAAAACTGTTCAACAATGGATTCCAGATATAACTCGCTATCGATATAGCATTGCAAGACACCACCTGTTGCTACATGGCAGAGGCGCTGACATTTCTCCCCAGAAACACGTCAGAATTAAAGTACCTCCAGAGAAGCTCGACCACTTTTTGGCTTTCATTACCAGTGCAAGGGTAATACAAGATTTGCCCTTTGGGGAGAAAACCTTAAAGCTCTCTACCACTGAAATAAAGATCCCAAACGTCATAAGAAACTCCATACCAGAACAGATAATTCAGCAGTATCAGAGCTACTGTGCGGAGACCGGATTTAGTTCCCCTTTGAGCCGTAGTAGCCTTTGCAGGATACTAGACGTTTGTTCTGCATCTACCCGCACCTCGCTTCAAGGCCTCGACTACTTCTCAGCAGAAGGTGGCAAAGCATTTGATGACATGGTTACAGTCGTAGATAAGCTA